CTTACAGCACCTGATATTCCCAAGCGGTTACCCATCTGGGTACTGATCAGGCTCGACTTTGCTTAACTTCAGTTATCGCACGAGAATCGGTGTTTCAACATGATATAGCCGTAAGCATACTACAAGCATATCCAAGCTTACCGTACCTAGTATCACCAAGCGCTCATCCATCTACTGCCTAGGCTCGGCGTTGCTTAACTTCAGTCATCGTACGAGAACCGGTGTTTCAACATGATATGGCCGTAAACTGATGTATGTCTTCATCAAAAACAAATATTGGTTGAATAAAGTCATGCTTCCAGAAAACTGAAGTTTCTCGCCAAATTTATTTTGATGAAATTTATTCGTGGGCCTCACACACTTTGTCGTCTCGCGACAGTATTTCGTGCGGGCCTGATCTAGACTTTTCATTTTTTTCCAGAGTAGCCTATTCTCCAAAAACATCAGCAGATACTATGCCACATCAGGACAAATTTGAGATCAATTTAGAGAAGATTAATTTGGATACGGGATTCCTATCTTAAATCATTACTATTATGTATTGATTTTGATCCTCACTGAGAACCTTGCATTTGTGACCATGTTATCAATTCAGCTTTTCACCAAAAGCTTGGACGACAATAAACTTTTGTCTAAGAAAATATAGAATCACGTGACATTTTGAACGACTCAACTAGGTTCTTCCAAACCTGCATGCAATAAAGAATCGGACTCTAGACCGATTCTTTAATGTATGCAGATTTGGAATTGTTGAAAATGAAGCACTCTAGAATTGGGTGTTTGGCTCAAGGCCATAATAACGGAGCTCTATAAGCATAAAATTATATGCGTTAAGTAAAGCTTTCCTGAACTATTTAAAATATAATAATTTTTTTCTAATTAAAATAAAAAAGAAATTAAAACAATTCTTATAAAAATTCATTATTCATCGAAAAGATTTTTTCTTAATAGTGTCCTTAATATATCTTATTTATAAAATCTTTTCTAATTAAATAATATCATTGCATTTTTATTTTACGATTCAGAGCAGACTTTTGGTAAATAGTGTTTCTGTTTGACAAAAACAAAACAAACTGATGATTTAATGGCGTCCTGTTTTAACTAATATAAACCCCTGGAATTATAATTTTTCGAAATTCCAAAAAATTAAGTGGCAGAGTATTAACAGATGGAGAAAAAAAAGATTACAAAGATTTTCTAAAAAAAAAAATATATACAAATAATTTAATTCATTTGTGAATAAGTCCTGAAAATTTAATTAAAATCCGACCATTATTTGATTTTTGTAAGAATTTCCAAATCAATTTGTTACCGAAAAAAAGACGCTAAATTTCCCCTACTAATCTGCAAAAAAAAAAAAAAAAAAGATTTTCACCAAAATTTTGAACGCGCTAGAAAGGATTAAAAAAAATTAATAAAATAATTAAAAAATACTTGGGTCTTTCCTCTTTATAATAACAAACATTTTGTCGATAAAACTTTGTTTTTATAAAGTTTGGGGCATTTTTCATCATGCTATGCTTTTTTTTTTTTTTTAAAGAAAAGTTTTGGAGGTACCTATGTTAAAGCGGTTACTTTTTTTTTTTTTTAAACTGTCTTCCAACCGCAAATTTTATGCAAATGAATTATTTTTGCAACCAAGCAAATTAGAGCAGTTTTTGGTTCTATGTAAATTTCTTTGATGTGAGAATTGAGACAATTTCGTTTGAATGGATGGTTGTGTAGCGAAGCTGAGAAAAAGCACCTCTTGACAAAAAAAAAAAAAAAAAAATCACCATTTATGCTATATAAATTTCTATTCCGTCAAAAAATTTATCTTTCATAAAACCCCTTGCAATCTGACAGTTTTGAGTCCTAATTTACTTAGGAGACATCTGCCGAGGCAAGGCCGTCGCTCGCACGGATCATTTGCTTGCTTGCTTAGTGAGTGAGTTCAATCCTCATTGGGTGCAAATATCTCACAGCGCTTGTTGTATATCGATGTTTAACGCTCACGTTTTGTGATACAAGTGCGAACGAAACGTAAGAGTTAGAGCCGCGCAAGGGACCCGCTACGATAGTCTACTAGACTTAGGTCATTCTTAAATCAACTATCATTTGGACGTAATAGAAAAGTGGTAATGGTTAACGAGCTAATCTGGTCTGTCATTACTACAAAGTAGTGAGTTCCATCCACACCGGTGTCCTTGTGAAATCTTTGTTACTGTCAATAATAATATCGCAAATGACTTGATATGGATTAAAATCTTTCCATAGTAAATTTTATTAATTCCGAACCTTTTTCGTTAGAAAAATAGTCCATATTTTTTTTTTTTTTTTTAAATTTTAAATCTGTCTTTAAAAATGTACGGATTTAATAGGAAATATTAATTTAATTAGCATAAAAATAATACTTCGATATTTTATAGGTGGTTTTTCATTTATTCTTAACAATCCCCCATCCCTTCTTTTTAATCGGACAATTTGAAAAGATCGTCTGGATGAAAGTTAAACGCGTGAAAAAATTATTCTTTGGATTACGTCATCATGTGTTACGCGTGTCACAAGTTTCCAAGCACGCCTGGAATTAACGAACATTTTTTTTTTATTATTATTATTTAAAAAAAATAACGCCATATCTAGTTATTTCAATATTAAACTAGATACCGTACCCTCTTAGTACGTGCACACGCGAAACTGTATTAGTGAACCATTTCAAATTTTAATGGTTAAAAAAAATCTAAGAGAAAATACTTAGTGCTTGAAAATAGTCCTGCAAAATAGTCGAAGAGATGCCGTATCTACCTTCTCAATCAACAATCACAGATGAAGAAAGACCTCTGATGTCCGAAAATAATTCTAAATGTAAACGCGCTTATAAAGTTTCAAAAAGTAAAAATAACCGCGCGCCGATGAGAATGAAAGCAAAGGAATCATCCGAACAAAATATGGACACTGCTAATTTTCTTAACTTGAAAATCGGCGAAACTCTAGATTTAAATCCACCGTCTGCTTTGAAACGGAGTCGTAGACTTGAAGGACGCCAAGACATTGATAAAAGCAAAGATGATTTTGTATCTCATCACAAGTCCCCGATGACAACCAGTGACCAGCTTATGACCAAAAAAGTAGTTTCCAAAATTTCAAGCTTCACACCAACAACCAAACAAAACGAAACACGCAACAAAGAAAAACAAAAGAACGCCGAATGTGGGACGCATTCTCTGGAAAAACCGAAACGGTAACAAGTGTTTTATTTATTGTTATAATTGTACCTTTTTGTAGTTTCATGTTTTTTTAATTAATTTTTTTACCTTGTAAATTTTATTTTATTTTATTTATTTATTTATTTTTTTTGTGTTTTTAAAATAATCTTTTAACGGAAATACTTAGGAGAAAACATACAAATTTAGAAAATTTTAAGAAAAAAAAAATTAACTTATTTTAAAAAAAACAAAAAAACTCCCACTGGACACTACAAATAACGCTTGTATTACGATTCCTACCTCAGTCTCTCAAAATAACTATTATTTGGGAACTTTGAAAATAACAATAAAACAAAAAAGATGTATTAAGATTGGAGGTTTTTTTGATGGATTCATTCATTTTCTACGGCTTATCAACCCTTTGCAGAATTTTTAAAGCCAAAAAATATTTTTAGACTAGAAGATTTTTTTTGTTGAGTTAATGATTTAATGATACAAGTCTTACTAATTAATCCATAACTGAAGGGAAAAGTGGTGGATTCATACCTTTCCCAGGGATATTTGCGTGTAAGTGAATATAACGAACCCAACTGGAATTGGAACTCGGCTCTCCGATTAACAATTCCAAGCCAGTATCCATCCAAGCTTAAAGCACCAGGTATTTCAATAAGGTTGAAGGAATTTTAAAGAAAGGAACAAAATTCTCAAAAGGTCGGCTACACAAATTTTAACCTGTCTCAACCGGAAGCCCCATCGAAGTTAAAATGGAATATAACGTGCTCCCGACTCACCAGTAAAACTTTTAATTCTGGGGTGAACTAGATTTAGGCACTCTAGTAATCGGGGGTAAAAGTATATGTTCAGCTCCTGAAGAGAAATATTCCTCCAGTCAGCTCCTCTCTCGTGTCACTTTAAGCAGGCAGATGAAAAAGCAATCTCCTATGTTTGATGCGTCCTAAAACAAAAATGTGAAGGCAGACATAATTTAGGAAATTGGTAAATCGATCTTTGTTAATTATTTAGATACCCTAATCAGTAAAAATGACAATCCATTGAAAATTAGTCTTCTTTCTTCTTCTATGTCCCATATCCCTTCAGGACATCTTGTCCTGTGTAGCTCATCGTAAAGTTTGTCTTTTTGCGATCTTTCCTAGTCCCTGTTCTGCTAGCCATTTACACTAGCTCGTTAGGCTTTCCGCTATTTCTCTTCTCTTAATATGTCCTGTGCGTGTCAAATTCTCCATGCCTTCTTTCCTCATTATGCGCCATAGAAATTTCAATTCTCTATATGTGTCCTTTTTACTTCCATTTTCCCCTAAAACTTTCTCGTTGCTCGCATATTCAGTCCACGACATTCTCAGTATCCTTCTGCAGAACCAGATTTCTGCTGCCCCAAGTCTCTTCCTGTGAGGAGATTGCCCAGCATTCACTGCCATATAAGAGGACCGATATTACATACCGGTTCAGTTTTCTTTTCTTTGTTTTTAACGAAATTTTCCTATTTCTTAATACTTTGCTTAGCTTTTGGAAGGCATCTTTCCTTATTCCAATGCACCTTCGGATTTCGGTGTCACATGTTCCGTCCTGTTGAAACCCATCATAGCTATTTAAATTTTTTTACTTGTTGATTTTGGTGTCTCCAAATCATAGTTGACATCATGGGCTGTTCCTTTTGCTGACAACCATAGACTCTGTCTTCTTTAAATTGATAGTTAGTCCTTTCTTCTCACTTTCCTTTACAACCTTCTGTAAGGGCTCTTGTAGTTGCCTTTCCTATGTCTACTACTTTTCAGAAAATAACTAATAGCAGTCTATTTATTGATTTAACAAGTTCTGTTCCTGAAATTGATAAAATAGGTCTAGTCAACTTGATTGTCGGACCAACCATTCAGCGGAGATAGAAATTGCTTTCTCACTCACACGCACCAG